ACGGATGGCAATTTGAACCTGCCCCGTCGGCATACCCGACCTAACCCGAAATGGTTCGGGTATTACCCGACTAGCAGTAGCATGGAGCGGGGCATGGGTATCAACTTCCGACCCGCCCTGCAGCGCCCCATTCTTGGCCCGTTCTAGGTCAATTTCTTACCCCATATTTAGACTTTATATTTCAACTAAATAAACTCAATTACCCATAATATTATCACTATTATTCATTCATAAATTGTATTATCATAAAAAGTAAAATTTTGCATGTATTTTTCTCAAATAATATGTAAGAGTGGGTCGACCCGCCACGTACCCGTACGAGCATTACCTTCCTCGACCCGTACTAGCTCGGGATGGGACATAGGTATTGATGTACCCACCTCGCCCCCGACCCATTGGCATCACTACTAATGGCTATCCCAACCAGAAAAAGTGCAGCTAATCTTTCCCACCCTCACAATAATATGCTAATATTCCAGCAATACGTTATCATCGGCAAGGGCAACATATATGTTCTAATTATCCACTCTCATGAATTTTTCAAATATTTCTAACACCTCAACTTATGCTCAAAATGTGTATACTAGCTAGTGTCAACAAATGACAATTTATAATCACCTTTTGGGTTTGAAACAAATTTAAATACCTAGCTCTTTTTAAACTGTTAATGAAGCGTAAGTTCTTAAATTGGTCTGCCCGCTCTGGTGTGTGGACTATAATATGATCGATGGACCAATTACTTGTGTAGCCTAACATTGTGAAAGACATTTGCTCATGTTATTTTTATAGATATTTTTATTCTTTCATTTAGCTTATAATGTTTGAAACAATACAATCAACCTACAATTGTTGGACTAAAAAGATGGATGTCCTGTCAACACATGATTCCTCCTTATCCCACTCAAATAAGGTATGGGTCAGGAGGTGTGCTACCTAATTGCTATTCCGACCCCAAAAAGTACAACTAATTTCGCCCAGTCTTTACATCTGGGCTCGTATCTATTCTCACATATCTCCAATTTGACCCACAGAAGATTTTGCATTGTTGATCTCCTCCACTATTGGCAGGAGGGGCTATAGCCCCCATCAACTCTCAAAATTGTGTAAATTACATGTAAATTTCACAACAAATTTGGATAATAGAGTAGGTGGTAAGGCTTTAGCCCCCCCTCCCCGATTCAAACCTTTGAACGTAAATGTTTTTAGCCCCCCCCCCCCCCCTCATTCAGATTCCTGGCTCCGCCACTGCTCCACCATTAATTGGAAATTCGATTCTACTTTCCTTAAAAAGGAAATTAAAACGTTCTGCAATCTCAATAACAAAGTTTATCTCCTCTACTTCAGCCAAAATCGGTGGCCATTGAATTTGAACCCATGTTCTCTCCACTGCTGCTAGGTAGAACTACCTATCTTATCAAGAAATACCTCTCTGAAACTTGTACTAGATCCAATCAGCACCACATCATCAACATTTACTTTGAAGCTTGCTTTTATTGCTGCTTTCATATGTGAACAGCTTTTGAAGCTTGCTTCTAGCTTCTACTTTTTCCGCATGTGACTATTTCGCTCTTCACAGATCGAGATAAACCACAATGCGGTCAGAAATTGTATGATCTTCTCCTCCTGTCGTGTTCTAGATTGGAGCACATCTATTCCTCATAGGTGAGTCCCTCTCCTCTATTGACCATATGATTTAGAGAACTAGGCACCATACTCGTTGAATATGTGGTCCTAAGTTTCTTCTTAGCACCAAAAGGACATTGTTAAGATATGACTTGAATTTGATTTTGGGTGGTTTGGGCTTATTTTGTTTGGGTTTGTGTTTTGGCTGTGTTTTGGCCTTTTCCTTGTATGTTTGGAAAAAGTGTTTGGTTTTCTGTTGGGATTAGGAGAAGAGTTCTATAAATACTCTTCATCACCCTAGTCTTTAGTAAGGTCAGTCAGGTTAGTTTGTTTGGTTTGTCTGTTCCGGAATTTGGTTTGTAACCTGTACTCTCCTCAAAATCATTGAAATTTGTTCTCCCTTGCCCATGGATAGCTAGCACACATTGTGTTAGTGACTCACGTTCAATTTGTGTTCATTCGTTTTGATCTGGATTATCGATTGCACGCTTCTGTTCTGACAAGTAGTATCAGAGCCTGGTTGGTGCGGGGCGGTGGACGTCAGTTTGGTGGACTCTTATTCGGTGGCCTAGGGATTTGGGATCTACGTTTGGTTTGGTGAATCCACGAGAGATCCACTTTTGGGCTCATCTGGCAGATCGAGGGAGGTCCGCGTTTGTCTGGTGGAGAGATCCACGTTTGTCTGGCGGACCAAGATAATTGCTGAGGTGAGGACACAAAGTTCTTGGTCATTGTCTTGTGGGGAGGATTATAATCAGACAATCCAAGTACCACATCGGTAATAAAAGGGAAGGGACTCTTGTATATTAGTGTCCACCTAGCCCAATTAGTACGAGGCCTTTTGTGGAGGAAACCCAAGAGTAAAACCGTGTGGGTTTGGCCCAATGCGAACAATATCGTATTAATTGAGCACCCCGATTATGACAGACATTCATCTCTTCAAAATTTTCTTCATAATGTTGCTTCCCGTTGGCAGAGCGTTGTTAATCCATCTTCATTATAGTAAAAAGGTGGTTGATGAATTCAAAAATAACCATAAACAAACAAAACAAATCACCCTACTTGTGTTGTTTTAGTCTTTTCATGCACACTTGGCCATTCATAGTTGTACGAATAGGCCATATATCCAATACGAGATTCCTAACCTACTGATGTGGTCAAGTTATCATGTTCTGTTAATTGTTGCCTCGTAAGTTGCTAGTAAACCACTGCTGAATATCGAAGTCAAGTGTCATTGTTAGTGTCTAGTGAACTGCACAATCTTGAATAGTTTTTTGCTTGGGCAAGAAAAAGCTCAAGTGTCTAGTGTCCGGTTATTTAGTTGCTTTTGAAATGTAGTATTTGTCACACCCTTTCTTAGCACCATTTCCTCTGTTTCGATGCATCTTTAGTCATTTTAGTATTACTTCTACATCGAATCCATGTATGTCATTTTGATTCATGTATCAATCCACCAATTCATATGATTAAAACCATGAATCCATTTGATCCAATCCACTTGATCCATGGATCCAATCCACCAATCCATGGGTGCAATCCATTTGCCACCTCTAACTCTCATTAATTTGGCTTATAGTACTTATACAAGAAAAATTAAGTAGCCTCGTGCATACACGCTGGACCCAACCCCTAAATTGGCCAACCATCTCCTCATTTTAGCCAAGTCACCGCACAGCTACTCCCTGAGCTCCCTCTCTCAACTTCTTCATCTCAAGAGGAAGGTTGATGATTGCTCCCTTCTCGTTGCCCAGCCTCGCACCGCCACTCCCTTGTCGCCGACCTTCTCCCTCGACGACCACTTCTTCCTCTCCACTCGTCCCTCCCCCGTCAGCGACCTCTTCCAATCCTCTATATCCCTCGACGACTGTCGCCTTCTTGTTTACCTCTTGAGTCTTCTAAACTAGAGTACCAGCAAAAGTCAGGAGCTTCCCAATGATCTGCTCATTCCTCAACGCTATGAATGTCGTCCATCTTACTTGCATGAACCCACAAAATTGTATGGTGATGTGAGGCAATCCAGAGTCCTTGAGGAACTTCTATGTGTAATACTTGATCTCCATTAATGGAACCTCGGGATGCTTGTCACAATTGTGGATCGATTAGAACATGCATTTCTGCACTCCCATTGCCTTCGCACATTGTATAAGCACAACTTTCCCTTCCCAATCCACCTAAACACTAGAACACTCCTGGATTAGGGTTTTCATTCACACCAAAGGGTCCAATTCCCCAATTTCCATCAATTAATAATAAAATATGGACTATTTCATGGATATGAAAATTATGAACATGAAGAAGGTTCGACTTTTGGGGGTGAGCTATCACTCACTGAGTTCAACGTTAGCTATGTAGTAACTAAACACATTTTTATTTTTTGTTGTCAGCTTGCATAATTTTTCAAATTTATAAACTAAACAAGTTTGTGTTTTCTATTTTTTTCCTGTTGTGGTTGCAAATTTGTTTACACAACAACAGTGCAACCACAACAGTAACAAAATGATACTAAACGAGCCCTAATATTTGGCATACCCTTTCTTAGCATCATTTCTTATGTTTCGATGCATCTTTAGTCATTTTAATATGGGTTCTACGTCGAATTCACTTCGATTTGTTCCTTTATGCATTTGGTGGCGTCTAAGAATATTTGTATTCTTTTTATGCCTTTTATGGTATAAGACGGACCTAGATCGCCATTAATGTGCAAAAAAGAAGTCTAAAGACTAAACTCGGAGAATGCAGATGATGGGCCATAGTCTCAAACCCACACTCGATGAGGAATCGTATTACTCTCAAAATGTAGGAAATAAAAATTATAGGTACTAAACCGTAATTTGTCAATGATTCATGGATCCAATCCATGAATCCACCAATACAATTGGATTTGGATCAAATGGATTGGATTAGTTGGATATTTTTAATGAATTGATAGATTGGATTGGTGGATTGAATTGAGAATTGCCACCTCTACTTGTATGTATACATTCAGAGAAGCTTGATTTTCAAAAAGCAAACATTACTGTGACAAACAACGCAACTTTAACTTAACAGCCTTCATTATTTCTTTGGTGGGAAAAAATAGAATATATATGGCTAGTGGCCACTTTAGCTTTGTTGAGGAGTCCGGGCGCATGCCGTTGGCAGAAGTCACCAAAGAAAAGAGAGGAGATCTCAGAGCCTGTGGATAGTCAAAATGAAGCACAACGAAGGTTCTCCGTAACTGCACATACATGTGCGTGGAAATAAGCTAAGGAAATTAGGTAAAGCAGCATATATAATATATATATATATATATATAGCAGCAGTTGTTATGACTTATAAATTAGAATCACAAACCACATATACTCATATAGGGAGCTTGTTTCAGTAATAGTACGTACATGGCGAGTAGTAAAACAATGGCAGCTGGCCAAAGTAGAAGAATGGTTGGGGTACGACGTTGCATGATGATGATAAGCTTGATTTTGTTGGTTGCTGCTCTATTTTCCTCCAAGACTTGCATGGCTGTACGTGGGGTTCCATCATATCAAGATCTCGCCACACCGGCCGGCAGTACTAGTAAGTACATCTATTCTATTCAGCATCGTCCGATCAAATCAGTAATATTGTATATATATACTGTTTACTCACTCGCGCGCTGTACATAATTGGGTGGCGGCAGATGGGAAGGGTACTGAACAAGAGACTGCAGAGAAGAAGAGGAAGGCGGTGCGTCATGATAAAGACGACGACGATGATGATGGTGATGATCTCAAAGGATCCAAATTTTGTGCACATGGAAGTCTTTCTCCCCCAAGCGGCCATGGCTGTGGTCGCTAGCTAAGTACGTCGTCGTCGTGTATGTATGGTTCACATTCTGTTGGGATGAATAGCTTTGAAAAGCTATAAATGAAATTCCTAATTAATTATCCAGTATTTTTCCATGATACATAAATAAGATGGATAATTAATAAAAGGAATATTATGGAGATAATTAGGAATAATTATCTTAATAGATTATATTTTAATTATGGGAGTAGTTATCTCCCTAATTAAAATATGACTTATTCCCAAAGAAAGGGGGAATATTCCGGGTTTTCTGCTCCTATAAATAGGAGACGCTCCAGACCCTCTAAACACACCTCAGAAGAGCAGAAACACGAGAGAGAGTGAATTTATAGAGCTCCGGTTTTTCGCACAAAACTGATGAGCAACAAATCAAAAGAGTGGCTGTTTTATCCTGGAGGCGACCGGCTGATAGTCTGCTGTGCGAATTATGAGGCAGTGCCGCGAACGTCTTAAAGAAAGCGACCTAGTCCGCGACTCAGCCAGATCGGTAACCCTAAGTGTTTCCTGTTCGATTTCTAACAATTTTAAGACGTTCGGTTGCTGTCGTATTTGTCGAACAGGATAGCGATTCTGGCTTGTCCCATTACCGTCGCTGTGCCGCTCAAAGGATTTATCGGGACTATTTCTTTGCCCCGGATCTTATCGCCGTTAAGAGAGACGAATTTTGATAAAAAAAATTTCTGGACGAGTGCATCTGGTTTACTTCCGTCAAAATAATCGATTTCCTCTCTGGAGCTCCACCCGAATTCCCATAATTCAGATCAGAAGCGACGGAATTCTGCTGATTCGGGGCCGGCGGAGCGATCGTATCAGTCCGATACTTCCGATTTGGAAGTTGCGCGGGCTGAATCCATTCCTCCTATCGTTTGATTGGTATTCATATTCCTCCCCCCATGAGTTCCAGGGTCCAGATTTGGTGCGGCTCGTGGAGTCGCTAGTCGGAGTCTCCCTCAGCGGTGCCTCGTCGGACGTTGTGGTTTTGGTCCTCGCTACCTCTCTCGCCATTGTTGTGGGCACAATATTGCCATTAAACCTAGCAAACACTAAGAATACCACAAAGGGAGCATAGTACACCACCAAACCAAACGTCAACAGCGGCAGAGCCACAAACAGACCCAACCCATATCAGCCCGCTGATGAACCCACTGGAGCCCAACGAATTGACGAGGAAATAGTAGAAATTGCCGCCTGTGGAAGCTGAATTCGGGCTGGCGGGAACGCAGGTGGCCGATCGGGAGTCGAAAGTAAACGACGAACGGTTGCCGTAATTGGGGTTTCTGTGGACGATAGAGAAGATTCCCAATCCGAGAGTGCTGAGAAGAACCAGGAGGAATAGGATGAGAAAGGACAGGTCCTTGATAAGCCGGTGACCGGAGTTGTATTCGTTGAAGGAGGAAGAGGACGAATCTGATGCTTTGGCTGGAAAAACTAAGCTCACCATCTTTCACGGGATTACCTGGGTTGCCTGGGACCTGGAACTATGCGTGCATGAATAGAGATTTGGGCCGAAGCTGGCTCGGTCACTGGGCCATTCAAGTGATGAAAGATGTCGTCTTCTTCACACAATGGACACGGCGCCGTTTTGCTTGAAGACACACGGCGACGTTTTGAATCTTTGGCATCTCTCTCAAAATCGTCCTTCAAAGTTTTCTCTGGCAGATCCATAGTTCTTCTCAAACTTAGCCTCCCACCTAGAAAGAACGGCGGCAAAGCTATAGGCAGTTCGTCGTTGATCATGCACAGACATCACCGACTCCTGCAACGGCCTCAATCTTCCAGCAACGGTCAATTCCTTGTTCCAGTATAAATAGTCTCTTTTTGTATGTGTTAAAAAGTGACGGGAAGTAGCGAGAGAATAGAGAGCGTTCTAGGTCTACTTTGGGTCTATTTGTTCATCTCTTCAGTTCCTTGATTCACAGTGATTGTTCTGGGTGAATTAGGGTTGGGAAGAGTGTTGTTTGTAAGGTCTCAAAGTGCCAACTTCGTTGGCATGACACAGAGAGTGTTCGTAGTCTTTCCTGTGTAACTTCCTTCTTCTCATATTCAATAAAATAGTTTCGCTTTTCAACTGTTTCAGAGCAAGAAGAAGTTAATTCAGTGGTAAAGGGCAAGCTGATATTCTTCAAGAATCCAACATCAAGTTCGTCCCAGGATCAATAGAAAAGGGCCTCGTCTAATTGAACTGCCCCTACATAATTCCTACGGCGGAAACATTGGAAAGAAAGAATTGAGATTCTCAATTTGGTTCCTGTATTATTTTGTTTATTATGTGCGAAACCACAGTATAAGCTGACCTTTCTTTCCATTCTTGGCGCGATAACGAGGTCGAGGAAGGGTGGAGGATATCCGCCCAGGTGACATGAAGTCGGGATGGTGGATTAACCTCAAATAGAGAAGCTACGTGTGGTAGTAATTATTCGCTACAAAATCAAATGGCGATGAGCTCTCAATATTTTGAGGTAAGAACTAAAACTTTTTTATGAGTCATTTATTAATGACAAATTAGAACCTACCATATGCATGGAATTGAGAATCATTATGAATGCTAGAAATGAAAATCTAAAATTGATGTATGTTGACATTGAGATTTATTACCTCGAAGATTAGAAATTGAATACATGTTGTGGAATATAATGATTTTGTTTAAATGCATGCATATATGTGAAGAATATATGGGAATAGAATGAGTTTATTGCCCATAATAACGATATTATAAGAAGTACTATTATCAGTACTATACGAACCATTTAGATTGTTGTGAAACATTAAAGTTTCAAGAATGAGAGCAGCAAGCTGAACCAGATCCACACCAATTAGAATGGTACCTATCGTGGTAACCATAAGATTGTCACCCAATCCTCTAAGAATGACGTTATGTTTCTCTGTTAAATTCGTGAGAAACTAGGTCATAAGACACGAAAGTGTAAGAACAAGTTTAACCTAGTGTTAACTTGACTAAAGAAGAGGATTTGGTAATAATATTCACTGAGGTGATGACAGAGGTTAGCTTTAATGGTAACTCTGAAGAATGGTTGTTGGATAGGACCGCTTCAAGATATGTGTGCGATAAACGAGCTAAGCTCAATCATACATTGACGTGTATTGAAGGAGAAAGTGTTGTTGGGCAAGACCCACACAACTATTGTTGATGGTTCTGGAAAAGTGGAAGAGAACCCTGCCTCTAGAAAGTCATTGACTATCCTAGATGTAAGGAATGATTAAGTAGATAAGATAAATTCTTCCAAGCGTGTCTGTGTGAAGAATTAGACTATCTTAATCGCATTCCCATATTATTATTGGATGCTTGAGAAAAATATGATTTGTATATCCAAGCTAAATGACCCATAAATATGTGGTTAGAGAATCAGAATCAATAGATCTGATTTATGTTGATATGGGTAAACTTGATGGAAAAGACAATAAATAATTTATTGCTCTTTAGAGTGCTCTGATTGTCTGACTAGTTATTTGAAATGGTTTGAAATGCCTAATTGCATTACAATTGCACTGATTATTCGATATGTGGGATGCATGTGGTAGTTAGAGAATCAGTGTAGCATGATAACTAGAAGAGCATATGAGTGTGTAAGTTATTGTAAAACACATAAGTTTATGAAATGAATACTCATTGTGTTGTGGAGTCCATTAATGCCAATAAATTTTCATTTGAATTAAGAAATAGTGGGGGTGATATCCTACATACTATTAGAAATAATGGAACTAGTGGGGGTGGTGAATCTGAGTATGAACTCAGAAGAAGCAAGCAAACCATAAATCGATAAACGATTTTGGTTATGAGTTTGTTATTTACACCCTAAGAAAGATCCTACAAGTCTGCTAGAAGTTCAAACTTCTGTAAGGTGTAGATTTGTGGGAAGAAGCCATTATTAATAAAATGAAATAATGAGAGTCTAATAAGACTTAGAAACTTGTAGAGTTACCTTTTGGTTGTAAAGCCTTAAGTAATATATCGATGAAATCGAACAAGTTTTGGCATCTTTGAGAATTACCTCCTGGCAATAAAGCAAAGGTAATAAATGGATTCTCAAAAGAAAACTGAAACCTAATGGTTTAGTTTATGAGTATAAGGATCGCCTAGTAGTTAAGACTTAAGGCGAAAAGGAAAAAATTGTAGATTTTCTTGATATCTATCCACCAAATATAGAATAACATCCATGTATGATCTGGATGTTAAAATTGCATTTTGTGAATGGTGATATCTAGAATGAGACAACCTAAAAGGTTGTTATTCCTGAACATGCTTTTAAAGTCTATGGTGAGACAAATCATGGTATGATTTGAAACAGACTTTAAAAATCATGGCATGGATGGATGGTTCTCTCTCATGGTTTTGAATGAAAGTAGCAAGTGCATTTGTTACTAACTTGAGAACGACACTTGCACTATAGAAGACATGTTTCTTTGTTGCAAAGACTCATGACAAGAATAAATGTGAAAAACCATGTTGAGTGAGAATCTTGATGAGAAGGATCCAAGTGTTTCACTTAGAGATCCAAATGACTAGGATAGTGAAAGAGAGTTTTTTATAGATCAATCTAACTGTTTGGTTAAGATCTATAAGAAATACAAGTTGTACACTTGCCTAAATGTTTGAAGATGCTAGTACAATTCTAAGAGCACCAAATATGGTGTAAGAAAGTAAGAACATACTAGCATCGACAGTCTGCGAGAGGCAGCTGATAAACATGAGACCCGACATAGGGGGGTACTTGCCAGGCTTACTGATTGTCCTAGTATGAAGCATTGAAATGCTATTGAGAAGGGTCATGAGACACCTTAAGTGAACAGTAGGCCTTGATATATGTTATCAACGGTTTCTTGCTGTATTGGTAGGGTATAGTGATGCGGATTAGAATACCCTATAGAGGACTCCAAGACAACAAGAGGATGTGTTTTAAACATCGATAGAGAAGCTATGTCTTGGAAGTCTAGGAAGTAAACGATCCTGGCTCAATCAACTAAGAAATCAGAAATGATAGAGCTAGCAATGGCTAGTAAAGAGAAAAGTTGATTGAGAGTGTCATTACTAGAGATTCCCTTATGGGAAAGACCGATCCCTCCGGTAGTTGATTCATTGTGATAGCGCCACAAATATTACTAAAGAAGGGAACCGGTTCTAGAACGAAAAGAGACGACAAATTTGTCGTAAGTACAGTACTGTAAGAGAACTCCTAACGATAGGAGCAATGAGGGTGGATCCTGTAAGGTCCTAACATAATCTAGCTGATCCTTTGACGAAAGGATTATCTAGAGAGAAAGTCCAAAGTACCGCCAAGGGTATGAGACTTATGCCTACCGAACCACGGATTACAAGTGATGGTAACCCGACCCGATAGACTGGAGATCCCAAGAAACAGGTCCAATGGGTAATAACAAGTCATGAGTAATATTGAGAAAAGTTCATGCATGGTGAAGCATGAATCCCAAAACCTTGGAGGTTGAGTTAAACTCTTAATGAGATCTATACTCTATGTGGAGTGAAGTACTTTACTTTGGAGGTACTTCTGATAGACTCACCTATGTGAATGTGGGAGTGAGGCTGCTCCCTATGGAACTTTGGAGGCACAAAGTTGCTAGAGCATTCACTAAACCGGGATAACGTGCATGGCCATAAACGCACGGCCTATGAGAGAAAATCACTCAATGAAAAGATCCGGTGTGCTACATTGTCTGAGATAGGGTTCAAGACTACGAGTCACCCTTATGAAATCGGAATTGTAACCACTACGCTAAGGTTCAAATCTTCGCGATACCTTAGCTTATGCCCGATCTTATGGAACTGTTGATGCTCAAGATAGTTTCAAAACTATTCAAGTGGGGGATTGTTGGGATGAATAGCTTTGAAAAGCTATAAATGAAATTCCTAATTAATTATCCAGTATTTTCCCATAATACATAAATAAGATGGATAATTAATAAAAGGAATATTATGGAGATAATTAGGAATAATTATCTTAATAGGTTATATTTTAATTATGAGAGTAATTATCTCCCTAATTAAAATATGACTTATTCGCAAAGAAAGGGGGAATATTCCGGGTTTTCTGCTCCTATAAATAGGAGACGCCCCAGACCCTCTAAACACACCTCAGAAGAGCAGAAACACGAGAGAGAGTGAATTTATAGAGCTCCGGTTTTTCGCACAAAACCGATGAGTAACAAATCAAAAGCGTGGCTGTTTTATCCTGGAGGCGACCGGCTGATAGTCTGCTGTGCGAATTATGAGGCAGTGCCGCGAACGTCTTAAAGAGAGCGACCTAGTCCGCGACTCAGCCAGATCGATAACCCTAAGTTTTTCCTGTTCGATTTCTAACACATTCAAACAGCATTGGACCAGCATGGCTCACGATCGATTTGCTGCTAGCGATACATATATGTCATCTACCCAATTGTTTTCTGGGTAATAAAATTTTAAAGAGTTGATATTGCGGTTGTCTCCTCAAATATAAAATTTCTCCTATCATCGTCTCTAAACTATTTGTTCACCTCGTGATCATCCTCCGAATTCCAAACTTGTAACTCACCCTAGGCAAAAACCCAACCTCATGATGCGTAGTTACATAAGTTTTTGGCCTAGTCAACATCTAATTAATTTTTCCAGTCAGTAGGTGAGTCCCTTATTATCGGAAGATTAATAGTATTTTAAGGCCAAAAGGGCCAGATTAGGAAAATGTTTATATTTTAGGAAAACCCATAGTACAACGGTCATGATAGGAAAACCTTGATGGTCAATGGCGGACCCACCTTGGCTCTAGATTAGGACGGACTTCAAAAACTAACAATACATTTACGCAATTCAATACACTCGACCCCAATACTTCATGTTTATGGTTTTACTTATTTACGAATAAGTGATAAAGAGTTTCACGGAACACATTAACCTTGCGTATCATATAAATAACTCTAGATTTTATATAAAAAATATTTCTCTAATTGCTAATTATGAGTTTGCTCGTTTTTAATTTAGTATTGAATTCTCCGTCCTCAAACTAAACTTTGTCAGCAAACTATAAAAAAACTTTCATAAGTCATTTAAATATTAATAAAATTCATTTTATATATTTTATTTTTAAGTCAGACCCACCTTAAGTGAATTCCTGTCTACGCCATTGTTGATATTTGATAGCTCAGGAATCTAATAGCAAATATACCCTCAGTTTTCATATGTTGAATCGGAAAAGTGAGTAGTTCATGGTTTAGCAATTAATCGTTATAGAACAGTTAATTAAGCATTGATAGAACCGTTTATGCTCTATAACATATAAGACATTGCAGGCATATGCTATACGCCTGCTTTCACACCTATTATTTGTACTTTGGTAATTTCGATGAATCAGAACCGTTGATTTTCATTTTAAGATTAAATGAATCTTACGGTTTGGGTTACAAAATTGAGGACTAGGGTTCACCTATTAGAGATTAAGGTATAGTATTATGCCCCAAACTCCGATTAATTCATGGTCTGGATAACAAAACTTGACAGACGTACGGTAATTCACCTTGCCTTCATATCTAACCATAAAAAAAATCGTTCGGTCCATCACAAACCGTGCAAGCAGAAGAACCAACCGATATTGTAACTGATTTGGTGTTTCTACTGGTCCAGCCACTCGTACAGTTGAGTTCTTAAATATACCCTTAACTCAATAAATAAATGAACTGGTGGCCGGATATATGCGCCTCTTCCCTCTTGTTATGCAATATGAACTGAAGTGTGAAGTCCCATGTTCGACCCATCTCGAGGCCAGTTGTGATATTCCCGGAGGCATTAAAAAATGATTTCAGTGGATGGCCCCAAGGATTCAAACAGGTAAACCTCAAGTTTGGTATCGATCCGATATGTGCATGGGGATGTTATTGGGTTATAAAAAAAAAGTATGAACTCAGTTAGGCGTCCCTGTGTTGAACTGTATATGACGTGTAACTTGAACTGACCTGGTCCGCTTTGTTCTGTGGATCAAATACAAATATAACAATCAATCGGCCATTAATTGTAGCCTAATTACAATGTTAAAAACATTTCATTTCACTCTACACAACCATCCACCAAACGTGTAGTATAGATGGCCAAATTAAGAAACTGCAGTAAACGTAGCCAAAGCACTAAGAAGAAGCTTCCCGTCCGCTGTCCATGGTTATGTTATTATAATTTATATGTACGGAATCATAAGCTAAGCTATTTATGTAAACACCCCACCCAATCAACTGATTCACCTCGATTATCTATAATGAAATCCCTTATGCTTTCGTTATCATATATCTATACAAGCGGCTCCTGCATCTCTCTGTATTTTGCGCAAGGAAAACTTTGTCTATATCTTCGCACTGTACTTTTGCTGCAGACATGAAGGGTGAACAAGCCACCGAGAAGAAGTTGCTGCATCATGATGAAAATCATCTCCGACAATCCAAAATGAATAGAGGTGGAAATCCTTCACGACCAGGCGGCCATGGGGGTGGTCGCTAGTGAACTTTCACATTTGGTGGTTCAATGAATGGGGAAAACAAGCACTTCAACGTCCTCATGGAACTTTACGCCATTCGAATGTGTAACCATCCAGATAGAGGTGTTTTTCATGGAGCCTTCGTCATGCCCCGGCTAGACATACCATGCAACAGCTTGATGAACCCACGGAAGCTAAGTTTACCATCACCATGTCGTATCCAATCATTTAGAACTGCATGAACTGGGATGGATGGTCCAAGGGCAAGCTCCTGAACACAACCAATTTGTCAGTTAGTATATGCAGTTCACTAGCCAGGCAAACCAAAGATTTCGTTCATCGAAGAAGGTTGAGTACTAGCTACAACATACCGAGGCAAGTTCCTGAATAACAATAGCCCTATTTCCATCTTGGTCAAAAATTTCGTATGCAGATCGAGCATGCTGTTCCCATCTATCAAGTGCCTCCAATTGGTGAACACTTAGTGCAGCTGCACAAAACTCTTCAAACTCCATCTTCCTGTGTTGAAGTGTATTTAGCTGTCATGAAATGCAAAACTTCGAGCAATCAGCATATCAATATTAATCAGATATCCTATGCTATAAAAATTCCAACAGCTGTATATAGTGTAACAAGCAGGTGAGATCAACTACCGACGCTAGAATATCAGGCACTCGAGAATCTCTCATTGCATCAGTTGCATTTTTCATCAACGCCTGCGATATAAGAAAGTGAAATCGAGATGACACCTGTTACTAGAAGGCCATGGCTATGTTATCTCAAAGTGAGGTACAAAGGAAGAAAGATTATATTCACCATCCTAATGTGCTCCAATGTTATGCTGCCATTTTTGTTTGGCTGCAATATTGTGAATTGCTCCTTCAGATAAAAGACTTCATCTGCAGTCAATGTCTTGGCCAATGCCTGCTAAGTGCAAAGCAAGAACTTATGAGGACGATCAAAGGACAAACAAGCAAAACTGCAAATCTCATCCACATAACTAACTTTCAACGATCTCCAGCGAATTTATTAATTATTTTTATGCCAGTTCTTCACTTGCTAGGATTAGAAAGGTGCATGTATACACACCCTTAAAGCAGCCTTACGCAAAGAAGATGATCGAACATAAGCCCTCATTAGCTTCAGTACTGGGATATCAAGGAGTAATTTCACATCATTATAATTTCTGAGCCAAGGATGACCTGTAGAGGGAAAAGAAGATCGTGAATGTGATTCACAATAAGCACCATGGTGAGTTAGTGACTGGAAACCCCAACAAAATGAGGGAGAAAAGTGGACATACTTAATGCTTGAGCGGCAGTCATTCGCCTCCTAGGATCTTTGTTCAAAAGGCGCTTGACAAAGTCTTTTGCTTCTGGAGATATGGTGGCCCAAGATGCTTCATCAAAATTCTTCGGTTCAGCTTTCAGGACAGATCGGAATATTCCAGACTCCGTTCGGGCCCAAAATGGACGACTTCCACACAGTAAAATATAAGCTATTACTCCTATACTCCACACATCAGCCTCAGTGCTATAAGACCTATGTAGAACCTCTGGTGCAACATAGTAGGCACTTCCTACAATATCATTGAGTCTTTCATCTGAAAAAGGAAAACAGATCATGAAGGTCAAGTAAAAAAAAGTTGATGGGATGGCTTCTTAATAGGTATTAGAGCAAAACAGGGCAAACCTGGTCTGACGTAATCTGATAAGCCAAAATCGATAACTTTCAGCTCAGATGTCTCGTCCTTTGAAGTATATAGAAAGTTCTGTAGACGAATCGTAACCCCTCATTGCTATAAAGATTCATTTCTCGCTTTTCCAACTATCCCAAAGTGTACTGCATGTATTGTGACTGTCTTTGAACAGAAAAGAAAATAAGAAAAAGAACCACATTGCACCCTGGTTTAAGATCACGGTGCACCACACCTTGTAGATGACAGAAAGATACAACATTCAATATCTGCACCATGACTGCCTTTGCATCATCTTCTGGATATTTTCCACCTCTGAAGAACAACAAGTACCCTGCCTGAGCTCCCCCAGTAGAAAAAGAAAGACTAAACCTAGAATAGCTAATCTGGCAAAGGTTCATCCTAAAATATCGAGTGTAACTAGAGAAAGGAGAGAAATAAAACCTTGCAAGTATTCTATCCAAGAGCTCACCTCCTATGCACAACCTGAAATGTTAGTAGCAACTTATCAAGCAATTCAAAATTCTAAGCTGAAAGAGAATGATTCTGAAGAGCAATGAAGGACCTAAAACATATGCGCACACAAAAGAACCTATATTTATAGAATTAGCTGGCTCTGTCCATGCTTACTCCATTACAATGTAGACATTATCAGTGTCTTCAAAGGCATCATAGAACTATACTAAGTTGCTATGCCCGGCCAAGGCCTTCAATATTTTCACCTCCCTCCTTACATCTTCAACTGCAATAGATGTAGTCATCTGACAACATAACAAATGAGTCAATAGGGTCATGACGATCCATTATGAGCAGATGCTAAGAAGAAATGGATTCCAGTACTATTCATTCATGTCAAATGTGATACCAGTGGCCATGAATAAGCAACAGTACGTATTAATTCCTACTACTGAGACACTGTTCATTCCTTCTAGCTACTGTGCCAACAAACAAACACAAATTCCAGTATCAATTCACAGCCAGAAGTCTACAGCTTTTGCGCAGATAAGTACAAAATAGCAAGGAAATCCAAACAAAGAGAGAAGAAAACAACAAAAACCCAAATAAACGACAAAATGACACAAGGCACTAGAAAAGCTGCGACTCCGGAAACCAAACGGCAAACAATAATTTGCACACGCTGAATAAAAATAAAAAAAACAATTGCCGAAAGGAAACCTTGGATTTGGGAATGACTTTAACGGCGACCTGCTGCCCTTTCCGATCACCCTTCCTGATCTTAGCGGAACAAGTGTACCCAAAATGCCCCCGACCAACTTCTTCCCCGACCTCCAACCTGCTCGCGAGCTCTTTCGAGAACCCAAATCGCTTGTCCAGCTCCGCCCATTCCACCTCCTCTCTCTCGTTATCTTCCCCGCCGCCGCCGTCGTCTCCTTTCGCTTTCTTCTTGTCCTTCCATCGCCGGAGCACGGCGCGGATGTGTTTGGCCGGAGAAGGCGGCGGGAACGCCATCTTCTTGAAGATCCTCATCGGCGTCGGCGTGGATGCGGGGCGGGAAGGGCTGGGTGTGTAGGAAGGGAAGAAGGGAGACGCATTTGGAAGCGGAGAGGTAGCTTGTGGCGGTTGGTCATCTTGAGTTGGGAATTGGTGGTTGTTCTTGGCGGCGTAGGGATTGGACTTGGGAGGCTTTGAGGTGCAGCCGCCCATTGCGACGGTGGTGTGGTAGGAATCCGATTAGCTTTGGTAAAGGTGAAAAGAGGACTTTGTCGATGGCATTGTGAAGGTTTTGACTGGGAGGGTTTTCTTTGGAAGGGGTTAAGAGGGCGGGAATGAAGGAAGGAGAAAGCAGCGGCGGTGATTGAGGAATTGGGAATGGTGGAGGATGGGAGCGAAGATGGCGACGAAGGAGGGGAGTAGAGTGGGGGATTTGGTGGAGAAAGGGAAATGGAAGTGGGAGCAGAGAAAGTGAGCTGGCTGGTTGTGCTGTTTCACTACTGGACACTGCTGTCTACGTGGCGTCAATAAGTTGGGAATTTTATTTAAGAATTTGCGTCAATGAGAAGTAACTGATGGTTGATGTAAATGAAACCGATACGACAGGGAAAAAAGCTCAGAGAAAGAACAAGTTACTATCTGCTACTAGACATCTATCAGTGGTCACTATACATCCACAATCCCCCACTTCCCTTAAATCTGCTAATCTAACATCATTACTGCGACTAATCAAATGCAAATCAAGGATAATTTGTCTAAGAGTGCCTTCCACAGGTCTGCCTTGTTCCCCATGTTCTCGCCGACATCCACAAAGCTGCACTACAAAGGCACCATATGAGACTAGCCAGTATGCCCTCGGCTGTTTTCCTGCAGCAATTGTATCCGCCCAAGAGTGTTGACAAAAGATAGTCTTGAAGTTCAGTCCTGCTAGAATTTGTTGAGAGGCGGAGCAAGAGGTGCTCTCTAGGCTCCAATTCAGAATGACAGAGCAATACATATACCATTGACAATCTTATACCATTTTTGCAACTTGTCTTTAGTAACTATTAGTGTAGTCAAATGCGCATTTCTACGCAGAAGCGGCAACATGAGTAAGAACATAAAACGTAAAAGCGTAGCGTAAAAATGTAAGTTTTTGTGTATTATCTGATTAATATTCAACAAACTACCTGTCTTATGTAGAAAGGACATTACTCATGCAGATACTCTAATTTGACAAACTTTTAATAGTGGAACAAACATACAACCAAACCAACAAATGCAACAAGAAAATAATGAGACTTATTCATTCATAAAAGAAAAGTATAACTGATTAACAACTACGCTTCATTATCGGCTATTTTGTTTCAATTTGGATGTCAAGTTAAATAGGATTACTGTGGTTTCTTTTATTATAAGGTTCTCCATCCATTGAACGCGAGAAATCAGATAATTAGTAAATATTAATCACTTAAGTCGCACATCAAATAACAAAGTAATCATTTGGTGAAACTGTGAAGTAACATCCTCATCCCTCTTGAACATGTCATATGTCATGCTTGCATCAAGGTGACATCATCCCAATATTTGAGGAAGGACTTAATTGTAACTAATGGAAAGTTTGATGGTTTAAGTGGCAACTAAGTTTTCGTTTGCAGCAAAGCAGTGAGTTCAAGAGCGGATTACAATACAACCCGTCGTTGGATCATCCTCAAATTTGAAGGAGACATTCCATACTTTCTAGGATCTTATCCAACCGTTGGGATCGTCGTTATGATTTCTGGTTAGTTGAGAAATATTCATAGTCAGACAGGGTGCACCTGTTTTCCTATAGCTGGGCAGTTGGTCTAGGGAGGATTCCAGAGTAACCAATCGTTGGATCGTTATCAAACTTTGAGGATAGATTTAAGATTCTTTTTAGGTTGATTTGTTCATAGGGATCGATGTTATAATCTCTGGTTTGTTGGGTGAGAGGGTGTAAAATTGGTTGGAATTCCTTCAACTGGAAACGTACAAAAACGGATCAAAATTGCGTTTTTGTCCTTTTTTATCGTTTTTAACATTTTTGACTGTTTTTCTTAACGTTTCTACACACAATACAATTTATGCGGAAACTGAAGCATTTGGCCAAGTTACTACATTGGTAACTATAGCATCAACCATTATCATCCATGACAAGAAGTTGTTTTGTGATATACCCCATTTCCTCCATATCAATCCAACCCAGTTCACCTCAGGGTGTTTCGTTCTCAGAGTGTCCCATACAACAGAAACATTAAACACAGACATAGGGCATCTATCCCAATAAATCTTAGAGTGGTGTACCTGCAAATGAAGCTGAAGCTCTGGTCTTAGCTTTAGAACACGGCGCCAGGCCCAGGAACAGCGTGGACTTACATTCACAGTCCAAATGCTACCAAATTTTACCTTATAATGTTTGTACCAGGCTACCCATATAGCACCACGCTGCATCAAAAACATCCAAATTAGCCTAGCAGTGTAAAGCTTTGTTCCAGGCTGAACTCGCGCAGTCCTAAGCCTCATTATTTGAGTGGTCTTGCCATTCTCTCCCAGCTAACCTTATCTCTCCTTTCGTCTCCGCCATGCCAAAGGAACTGTAAACAGAGACTCTGAACCTGCTTCAACACACATTTTGGTAGAACAAATATAACATCCTGAACCTTTTTCGACGAAGATATTGTCCGCTTTAGGCCTCGACCCTCACGTTTTTTGACTTGGGGTGCAATTCAAGTTGATTTCCCATAAGGTCACACATCCTTGTTGTACTCCACACTGAGCACGTTTAACTTCGGAGTTCTCACAAGAACTCCTCCATTTCACCCCAATACGTGTCTTGTCAGTTAAGGTCGGTTTCTTACTTATGAACCATCCATCTCTCCCGTGCTTTGTCGATGTGAGATTATCCTAAAGTGTTACAACAAAAACCTGCATCCAGTATTGTAAAACTCCGATCAGAACAGAAGACACAAGTTGCAATCTGCCTGTGTAGCTAATTCTTTTTTATCTCCTGGAACATATCTTTTTTTTGTTATTGCTGCAACAAGCTTGTCTGTTTCTGAAGCTGGGAGTTTGCCCGATATCAATGACATGCCAAGATACCTTACTGGAAACTTACCCACTATAACCTTATAGAAGTAGAGCATTGTTCTCGAGTGCACTAATTCCCCACCTAAGTACACCTCACATTTCCCCTTATTACACTCGAGTCCATAACAAAGATAGAAATCATTAAGAATAACTTGAACTTTGTGAATTGATTGAGCAGGCCCCTCAGTGAATATGAGCTGGTCATCTGCAAAACACAGGTGAGTTAAACCAACTCTCTTAAACTGAGGGTGAAATGCAAGAATCCCCTGAGAATAAACTTTGTTCAACGTGAGAGACAATCCTTCCATAGCAATTGTAAAGAGGTATGGGGAGAGGGGATCCCCTTACCTCACACCCCTCTGAGCTCCAAACCATATAGCCAGTGGCAGACCTAGTAAAGGGCAGGGTGTGTCGTCCGACACACCCTCGCCCAGAAATTTTGTGAAGTACCTATATATTTTTGGTACATTTTTTTATAATTCGGGACTTCCGACCAGTGGCGGACCTAGTAAAGGGCAGGGTGTGTCGTCCGACACACCCTCGCCCGGAAATTTTGTGAAGTACCTATATATTTTTGGTACATTTTTTTATAATTCGGGACTTCCGACACACGTTAAATAATTGTGAGCGAAACACCTTCATTATACGAGAATGATTTTTTTGTTATAAAGTTATTTATCTTAATTAGTAATACACAATAATAAGTAAATTCAAATAAGTATGCTTGTTTTAGAGTAACCCACACCACAACCTAGGGATGGCAATATGACGGGTTTACCTAAACCAACCTCATCCCCATTTCCAAATATTCAAACTCATACTCGTCTCATACCCATGCAGTGGAAGGTCTTACAAACTCATCCTCATACCCGCGGTTTTTGGATACCCATGGGTAATATCGCCCCAACAACTACTCACCATTAATAAAAGAATATGGTGACAAATATGGATACTACCCACCCAAAATTATGGAACTAATACATAAGAGGATGAAATTACGGTTTGGTTGTCATCAATTACATTTTAACACTTTATTTTTTTCTTTTAATTACCATTCATTCGATTGACAAGTTACAATACACTCCTTACATTTTAT